TGGCCGTGTACGCGGTGAATGCCAAAGGTCGGAGTCAACCAGTCATTCTCAGCGAGGTCACCTACAGGGATGCGGAGAAACGCACCGGTAAAAAAAAGAAGAATTCACGTTTTTCTTCTTCTCTTTCCTTCCCTTTCTCCGCCTCGCTTGTTTGTTGCCTTCGAACGCAAGGTATTTCTATCTTCCACTTTATATCCTTACGCATCTCTCATGTCCCAATTATATCGATAAAACGACGAGAATTCTGAAAAATTCCTCCGATCGAAACGGATAAAATGGGTCTTTTTGATTAATTGAATCGATATGATGGGAAATTTAATTCTTCTCGGCGAGATATATCGATGGGATATATTAATTTAACGAGATGGTGGAGATTTTTGAGGAAAGAATGGGATAAGCAAAGTGACGGAATGAGAAATGGAGTGTCGTGCGTAAGCTTAGTCGAACGGGGGGAACGCGTTCAAGGAGAAACGAGGCGTGTTAGGTTGACCCTGATCAATATAGTGACCGGCACCGATGTCAAGGAGATTAACAAAGCGTTCGGGGATTCAGCGAGGCAAGGTCGGTGCCTGGTTCCTGCGGGTTCCTGCGCCGCCTTTGAAACGGATGGTAGCTGTTCCCGGGTGGGTGGTGTCAACGACGAGGTTAGTAAGCAAGACGAATCGCCACCCTCGAGACAACACACCACGAGACGTATGCACCACACCCATTACGTGTCCGTGTGGACATTGTGTGTGTGTGTGTGTTACCTTAGGCCGTTATAACGCTATATATATCCGTTCGAGAAAATCGGCCCTGCCAACCTTCGTCGATCGTCCATAATTTTCAATTCTTTTTCGAAAATCGATTTTGCATTCGCTCCCAATACTCGACGCTTTTCGTTAAAATTCTACAACGTTTTTTCTGTAAAGAGAGAAAAAAAATAATAATAATAATAATAATAAATATTGATTTTAATACGGACCGTATGTTTAGAAAGGATTTTCCACTTTTTTTTTTTTTCAAATACTATTGGTACTCTGGTCGGTTACAAACAAAAACGGAACAACTCTCGTAAATAACCCTGTGTGGACGACGCGTTTATTCATTTCCATCGCGCGTATCCGAGCGTAACCCGACCCGACGATCGGGGGATAGGAAAGCTGATAGAAAAAAATAGCGAAACGAAAGAGAGAGAGGGAGGGAAAAGAAGAAAGGAAAAGGGGGGGGAAGAGATGAGCGAAAAGCGAAAAGAGCTCGAAGGAAGGAAGGAAGGGAGGGTGGAAAAATGTAAAAGGATTTGTCGCGGGATAAGTCGCGGGATGGGTGACGTCGTGTGTAACACGCGCGATCGTAAATATTAGGATGGCGTGGAGTTTACAACGAGGTAAAACGGAGGGCACCAAATCAATTGTCAGTAAAGTGATTTACGGTCGCCGCGGCGTCTATCAATTTGCAAGCGGGAGATGCGAGCGAGCGTGGAACGCGCGCTTACCACCACCACCACCACCACCATCGTGCCACGCTACTTACACC